GTGTTCCAGACGACAATGAGATAAAAAGAGACATCATGACAGAGTCCCATAGCTCGAAGTTTGTCATGCATCCTAGAAGCACCAAAATGTACCAAAGCATGCGACCCCGGTTTTGGTGGAATGGTTTGAAAGAGGGACATAGTTGACTTTGTATCTAAATGCTTGGTATGCCAGTAGGTCAAGACAGAGCATCAATGCCCAAGCGAGTTACTTCAGCCCTTACCGATCCCGGAGTGGAAGTGGAAACATATCACCATGGACTTCGTAACGGGATTACCCAAAGCACGTTCAGGACATGACGCCATCTGGGTAATTGTTGACCGACTTACCAAGTCTTCCCACTTCCTAACCATCAGGATGACCAATCCCTTGGACAAGTTGGCAAGAATGTATATCCGGAAAATAGTCAGATTGCATGGAGTTCCAGTGACAGTGGTATCCGACAGGGACCCCAGGTTCACTTCTCGGTTTTGGAGTAGCTTTCAGCAGGCCATAGGAACAAAGCTGTCTCTCAGTACTGCTTTCCATCCCCAAACTGATGGACAGTAAAAAAGGACAATCCGTACACTTGAAAATATGCTCCAAGTTTGTGTCCTTGACTCTGGGGGCCATTGGGACGACCATCTACCCCTAATAGAATTTGCCTACAACAACAGCTACCAACCGAGCATTGGCATGGCTCCGTATGAGGCGTTATATGGGCGCCCATGCAGATCGCTGATTTGTTGGTAAGAAGTGGGTGACAAAAAATTGTTCGGCCCGGAGTTGGTGGAAAAGACCACGTCTAAAATAGTTAAAATCAGAAAGAACATTCAGACGCTCAGAGCAGGCAGAAGAGTTATGCGAATACCCAGAGGAGAGATTTAGCATTTGAGAAAGGCGACCGGGTATTCCTTAAGGTCACTCATTTCAAAGGAATTAGTAGGTTCGGCAGGAGAGAAAAACTGAACCTTTGACTTATTGGACCATTTGAAATCTTAGATAGGATTGGTGCTACCGCCAACAGACTGGCACTGCCTCCAGAGCTCTCTAAGGTCCATAATGTGTTCCATGTATCCATGTTACGCAAGTACAACCCGGACCCCTCTCATGTCTTGGCTCATGAACCGCTTCCACTCCAAGAGGACTTGTCATATGAGGAAGTACCAGTCGGTATCACGGACCGAAAGAACAGAATACTCCAACCGAGAAATATCATTTGTAAAGGAAGTATGGTAGAACGACACGCCAAGAGAGACTACCTAGGAGCTAGAATCAGACTTTAGAGCCCAGTATCTCTATTTGTTCCACAAAGAGTAAGAGGCAAATTTGGGAGACCAAATTTCTTTAAGGGGGGAGAGTTGTGACACCCAAATTTTTATTTTTATTATTATTGGAATTATTTCGATTTTATTTTATTTTAATAATTAATTTATTAGGTAATAATTATATGGTTTTAATTTAATTTAATTTAATTTAATAGAAATAAAAATAATAATAATGATAAAAATGGGTAAAATTATTTTTTGAATTTAATTGAAAATGATTTTGGAAAAAAGGGGTGAAATTTTGGATTTTGGGGTGTTTTTGAAAAGAAAATCAAAAATCGGGGGTCAAAACACAATTTAAAAAAAATTGTGCCACGTCAGCAGCCACGTCAACAGCCCGGTCAGCAGCTCCGGTCAACCAGGACACGTCGCGTGGCAGAGACACTGACGTGGGAAGGCCACAGAGAACGCCACGTGGGCGATCTGCGTGCGCGCGATCGGACGGCTGAGATTCGTTCCTGCGCGCATGGACGGCCCAGATCGCATCGCGATGGACAGCCTAGATTCATTTCCAATTTAATCTCGATCGGACGGTCCAGATTAAATCGTGATGAGCGGCTCAGATTAAAAAGAGAGGGTTATAAATAATCTCATCCACACCCAAGCCCAAACCCTATCCGCCAGAGAAGAGAGCCCAACCACCAGAGGAACTGACCGCCGCCACCCGCCGCCGTACCGGGGCACTTTTCGGCCGCCAAACGAGGTAAAATTTCTCTCTTTGGCTCGAATTTCGATGCTGAACCCCCCTGTGGCCAAATCGAAGCCAAACCAAAGGCTAATTGGCCAAAAAATGCCATCGAAGCCCAGCAGCGTCGCCGCGACTTTTCTCGATTTTTGCCTCCGATGAGGCCCTTCCCGATTCCCGTTCGATGTAATTTTTATACCACTGTGACCACTGTCCTTTCCTCTACAGGTTAACTGGAGCAGAACACCAAATCGCGTCTCGCGCCGGAGGAGCCGCCGCACCCGAAAGCTCCACCGCCGGTAAGTCTCGATTTTTTGAGTTTTTTCGGCCCACCGAGAGCCTTACGTGTGTTTTATCACAAGAACCAATACAAGTTTGGCTGAATTCAGCCGAAAAGGACCAATCCGAGGCGGATCGCCGCTGCAAGTGGCGGCGCCGTTGCCAGAGCACAGCGGAGCAGCCGTGCCAGAATTCTGAAATTGGCTGAATAGACCCTGGGTTTGATTTGAGATTTTTTGGGGATATGTGCAGGTACCGGAAGTGTGTTTTAGTTTTCGAAAAAAATTTCAGGAAATTTAGGGACTGCCCGTAGACGCAGTGAGAACCCGATTTCAGACTTCGAAACAAGTAAGGATCTCTCACCCTATTTCCTATCACGACATTAAAGCTTAATAAATTATAAAACGATATTTTATGAATTAATAGATATGTATAATTAATTAAGATTGCTAATGGGACCCGAACCTGATGTATTTGTCGGTCTGTTCCTGTTTGAAGTATTTTATAGTCTAAATGTAGTATAGTATTTGATTGTTTATTCTATGGTTTCGTATGCATGAATCACTGTTTAATCTATTATGGTTTGAATTATTGTGAACCCGATGTTGTGTTGCCTTGTTTGGTGTGCGTTACTGGTTTACGTATTTATGTTGATTGGGTAATTGAGAATAAGAAAAATGAAAAAGGTATGTGAATTTATGAATAGATTAGTCGACAGACTCATTAGATATTCTGGAAGATGGTGGACGGACCGGGTCCACAGGGAACCCTACCGGGAACGTGATCTCTCATATCAGACGGGGTATGGAGACTTTAAATATTTTAGCGCTCATACCGGACGGGGTATGGGGACGACCCACTTCACCCTCATACCGGACGGGGTATTGAGGTTTATGATTTTGGCACTCATACCGGACGGGGTATGGGGACGACCCTAAAATTAAGGTGAATGGTTCACGTGTAGCAGAGACCCCTATAGATCCCCATTGATACTAATAAGCTGATAAAAAATGAAATTTGTTACCTAATGATTGAAATACAAAAGTATGATATGTGTTATGTTACAGAGTGTGCGTGATCTTATGATATTTATAATGTTATTATTTTCATAAGTTGTTTTCATGAATCTCACCGAGATAAGTGGACAGTAAAGGATTTTATTATTGATAAATGAATTTATTATAAATTATACTCCATTGGTCGTTTTTGTTTTATACCAATCTTTACTTCTGTAACAGTGAAATAGTGTGATATCTTTACTGGGTTAATGTAACTTATTCCTTACTTAACCATTTTAAATCAGGAGAACTTAATTCCCGAGCATGTTCCACAGGAAGACGGCGAGTAGAAACTTAAAGATTTATTAGTTTTCCTTATAGTATTCATTTATAATATTTCCTTTAATTAGTTTATTTTTTCATATTTTTAATACGTATTGATTATTATGTAAGGGATGTTAATTATAATCTATTTTATTTCGCTTCCGCACTTAGAATAAATATATACATTTCCTTTTAATTTATGGGGCCGTTACACTATCACTATCATCTCTTCTTTAGGAAAAATGTAGCTTTACATCACTAAATCACATAAAGTTTCTACTTCAAAACTTAATAAGGAAAAAAAGGTGAGAAAAAAAGGAAAAACACATTATTATGATCATGACCATGTGTGATTTAAAAACTTAAAAGAAAAAAATCTTGGAGAAAAATCTTTGGAAAATGTAGCTTTACATCACTACATCACATGAAGGTTCTATTTAAAATTGATGAGAAAAAAAGACAAAAAATACAAAAAGGAAAAATACATTACTGCGATCATGACCATGTGTCTTAGCCAACTCAAAAGAAAAAAGTCCAAGAGAAAAATTTGGATGCATGGCTTCCTAGAATGGCAGTACTATCATGTTAGGGCAGTCGAGAAAAGTGCTCCAGTGGTACCTCAACTTTAAGCAAAAACATGAAGACAAAAACTTATAAAATTAGAATTTTTTTTTAACATAATAAATAGTATATTCAAATCAGATAGCCAACCGAACTAAATTACTATATTCAAATTTTTACAATAACTTTTTAATTATTGTAAATTTCAAACTCTGTCAAAAACAAAATATGGGCAACACAGAAAAAATTGATATTTTTCATTTTAGAACTTCCTGATGTATGAAATATCATAAAACTTAATTAGAACATAATGAATAGTTTATGAGAATAAAATGATAATTAGTCTAAAATCTTATTGTAATCAGACGTATGTTAAAAAATAGAAAACATTAATTAGAAAATACTTTTACATAGGTAAAACCACAAGTATTTAAGAAAATAATTGATAAAAACAAGGCTTTAAGGTATTAAGAACTTATAGTACCTATTGCAGATAACACCCAATAAGCAAAACATTAATCATAGAAAAATACAATATGATCATTAACTTTTGAGCCAAAAGAAATAATAATTTACCTTCAAGAATTTCATCACTGTTAGATTAGCTAAACAGAGATCTCATCCCTTAAAAGTAACAATTTATGTTTCTCTTTAATCTTCACTATTTCACTAGGAGAGGCAAATTGACTTGAAGGCACCTTAGAGTTACATTGTTCAGCGGATAAGGCCACAGCTAAAGCATTCACTACGTCAGTACAAAACCACAAGTTTATAAATCAAGGAAATTTAATGAAGAAAAGTACATAGAAAATGGTGGACATTGCTCTTTATGGACCGAAGCAGAAATATTGGCAAACACATCAGGCTGACTGGAAGACTTGAATCTTCAATCGTGATATAACCAAGAGAAAATCACCAACAACGGAAGCATCATTGCCAAGCCATAATTCACCAAAGAATCAACATCTTCAATTTTTTCCAACTGGTTACCAAAAGTAACCCAGATATATCTAGAAGCAAATATTTGATCCTGCAAACATGTGTTCCTTTCCTTTTCAATGTACACTACACGAAAGAGGGTTCATGATATACCATAGAAGGGAATGCAGCAGTTTCACCTTGGTGTTCAAGTCACAGATCTCATCATTGGGATTGATCAACATTTGGGTCTCACCATTCTGGGAAGGCTGATCCTGAATTATGTCAACTCTAACTGTGACAGACTTTTTTCTTAGCAAGGCTCCATAAGCTGAATCAGTATGTATCGTTTCCATGAATGAGCCAAAGAAGTTTGTCACTGGAACCTAATGTGGAGCAGCAAGTTGGTTGAGACAGCTTACAGGGTATCTCAGTTGAGTTTCATTACAAGAGCCATTAATTTCTTTCACTACTCTTCCTAGAAATCATTCATGAAGTTCAAAA